TGTCAAAGGCCTTGCTCAGGTCCAGGTAAATGACATCGGTCGCCTTCTGTTCGTCCACCAATGCCGTCACTCCATCATAGAAGGCCACAAGATTAGTTAGGCATGACCTTCCTTTGGTGAAGCCGTGCATCCCCCATGCATCCAGCACCAAAAATAAAGAATTTCTGCTTTCTAACACTCCAATTTGAGTCTTAGAGTGTTTCATGATTAACAGATTTACAGAATCACTACTATCTGGTCTGAACATCTCCTGGTGCTGTTTTGTGCCATTCCTCCACATCCTGTCATCAGATACTAGAGAGAAGAGACCAGCACGAGGTTGTCCCTAAGTTCTGTGTTCTCCAAACTGGACAACCCATGTGTCCTCAGGCTCTCCTCACAGGCAATGCATTCCAGACCAGATCCAGATTCCAGATCAGCTCTGCTGCCTTCCTCTGGACACTTTAAAGCACCTTGGACGCCCTTCTTACTTTGTGGAGCTGAGAACAGCCAAACAGATTCCAGGTGAAGACACACCAAGGCTAACTGTACTGGGAGAATCATCCTTGTTTGACCAGTAGCCAATGGAGTGTGTGGTGCATTCTAAAAGTCAGTTGGACCTCTTTGCTGCCAGGCACAATGTTAGCTCTTCTTGAGCCTGATGTCAGCCAGCACACCCTGATCCCTGCAGGATGTCTGTGCTTCTCAGGTGCTCAGATACACTTCAAGGGTGTCCCCAGTCTAAGACTAGAGCCTCAACAGCACAAAGCAAGGAAGGCACAGCAGGTGGAGTCGACGGCAAACAGGCCATTCAGAGAGGCAGTCAGGATGGTTGAGGCTGGAAGATGGTGATATCCTGGAAGAAGAACAACACCCTTGCTTCAGTCACACACATGGAGCTTCAGTAGAGGCACAGCCCTCTGGACACCGGGGCAGACAAATAAGATCCATTGAAGGGGTTCATCACAAGTGACTGAGCAGAAACCTTATGTCTATAAGAAGGAGAAAAGTTGTGTGAGGTTTAAAGGAGACACCTTCATTTGGTAGTAGATTCTTCAATTAGCTGTTGTCTTGGCTGTTTGATTTCCTTGGCAAGGACTGCCTCCTGCAATGCTGCAGAGGGACTCCAAAGGCTTTTCTGGATATCAGTGAATCATCCCTTAAAACTCGTCCACACGAGTTTGCTGCCAGGCAGAGGTGACTCAGAAAGGGAACTCAAGGACCTACTGACCAACTGAACTCCATTCACTCCTTCCTCAATGCTGCGATTTGGAGAAGATGTCTGTAGGTGCCATTATGAGACATCCAAAAGGGTGCGAGGTGGTTCTGAGCAGGGAACAGGGGTCAGCCTTGGCACCCAACAAAGTGTGGCTTGGGGGGGTAGGGGGGAAGTTTATCCCCATAACCATCCAAGCATACAGCCAAGAGGGAGAAATGTGAGCTTTAGCCTGTTGAAATGGAGTGGAACCATTGGTCAGAGGCTGTGTGCAGAACGATGAGGGTGGGATGGATTGTCTGGATCTTCGTCAAAGGGACAGAGCACCTCTGAGATCCAGGCACACATTTGGTTCCGACTGAGTCTTTCGGGGTCTCTGTAACCATGTGTCCAGGCTGCCTGTTCGTTTCTCCTGTGAATTCAAACACTGGTTCCCTCTAACCGCAGTTACTCATCCCGGTGCTGCTGCTGGCCTTTCTCGGGCTCCTCGAGCGGCGACAGCAGCACCACGGGCAGCAGCAGCTGCGGGACCCGGGGAGCTCTCGGAGTGCCGCGTTCCCGGGCAGCAGCACACGACCCGCTCCCGCTGCAGGGTTTTAGGAGATGTGGCAGCGCCGGGTACAGCAGGGGGACAAGGGCTAAGCCGCGTTACGCTCATCGAGTATTCCTGTCTCGTCTCTGCTCTCGACGGCCCCTCTCGCTGGGGATACTGTAGGCGGGCAGCTGCTTTCTTCCATACCGAAAGAGCTTCGCAGCAGTCCCTCAGCTCTCCACTTATCCGGCCATACCTGGGCTACGCTGCAGGACACGCAGAGCCCAAACCCCGCTACCCACGCACAAGCGCCCAGCACTCGCAGCCCGCAGCAAGCCCGAGTGCCGCCGGCGCAGGGCGCAGCCCCGGGGCGGAGCTGGCGGCGGCGGCGGGGAGGAGGCGGTCGGGATGCGGAGCGGCGGGATGCGGCAGCGCTGGGCCGCGGGGCTGGCGGGGCTGGCCGCAGTGCTCCTGGGTACGCGGGGCTGCCGCCGGCGGGGCCGGACTGCGGGGGACGGGGCAGCGAACGCCTCTGGATTCTTTCTAACATCGTGCACATCTCTGCTCCTTCATGAAATTTCCGTGGAAGAAAATGGATTTTCTCAGTTTGCTGCTTCTTTTCTTCTCGGCAGTGGCTGTGAGCAGAGCCCAGGTGCAGCAGGAGCCGGCGGCAGAGACCACCGAGGGGGCAGCAGTCAACATCACCTGCTCACACCCCAGCATACAGATCGGCTATTCCATCTACTGGTACCGTCAGCTCCCGGGCCGAGGCCCCGCATTCCTCGTTAGCACAGCTAAAGACTCCAAGGAGGTGCCGGACCCGGAGGGGCAGCTGTGGGTGTCGACAG